ACCAAGCTCCGTTTCTCAAACGCTATATTGAGAATATATTACGCTTTCGACCTTATGAAAATACTTCGTTCCTTAAAACATAACTGACCAATGTTCACGCCTTCTAATCCAATCTTCCCTCATCCTCCAATTGCCCCATCCCCCTCCCCGATCAAGCGCTAAACTTTGAACCATGTGAGGTTGAACTTGGCGGCGAAACAAGTTTAATTCGACGCGCTGAAGCACGCATGTTGACAGCGGCTTGGCATAATAATGCGAGAGTACTGCGAAAACTGTGCCCTCCTAGTGCCCAACTACTAAGTAGGAATAATGAATGCTTGGAGTTGGGCTAGTTGGTTTTACATTGATGGTATGCTGCGCTGCGTAGTTACGCGAAAAAAAAACTGGAGAAATGAAGTTAATGCAGAAGGACAGACAAAAACATGCATGAATTGGCGCAGACTAACAACTGTTTAATTTCTTCCTCTTTTTTCTCCCCCGACCCGTATTTCCAAAATTGCGGCTAAGAAAACGAATGGCTGATGTCTTGAATTTGTTGGCTTCTGAACTTGATGGTGTTTGCTGTAGCTGCCTCTTTGATATACGAACTGGAGGGTGTGTTTTTTGTAGCGTTTACCTGGGGCTTGATGTTTGCTCCGACAAGTTTGGTATCTTATAGAGTAGATCTATTTCTTCTTGTCGCAAAGCTAGTGATGGCTCACTAACGCACGCTCCGTGTCTACCCGAGGCCATGTGAAAAGCCTCGATTATTTCACGCTTTGTTCTGTCCTTTGATCTGGCCAAGATGGAAGTAGTGTCAAGGAGAGCTTTGCAGTTGCATTTTGAACAATGCGCTGCAAGGTTGCCAGGTGCTTGCAGTTGTCCGCATGCATGGTTGTGCTCCCTTAGTCTCTCGTTAAGGCATCTTCCAGTCTGCCTGACGTAGGATCTTCCACACGACAGTGGTATTTTGTATACCACACCTTCGACACATTCAACAGATTTGCTCCTGTGTTTCACCTGACACAGTGCCTTGCTGTTAGTCTCGTCCACTTCATTGTTGACCTTCCTGCATAATCCTTTGAGCCTGAAAGGGGCAGATAGTGACACTGACTTCGTACCTTGCGGCGATGTTTTTTATCCTGTGTGAAAAATTGTGTATATATGGCAGTACCACCTGTACATGGCAAAAGGAAATAGAGAACTACAGGGGTTTTTCCAGAAAAATGGAGTCAGCAAGTGCTTTAGATATGTAGACGATTTTTTGGTGTGTTTTCCAATACACATACTAACAGACAAGGTATGTTCAAAGATCATGGAGAAGTTTCGAGAAGCGCACAGAGGTCTGGATTTTACTTTTGAGTTACCTGAGAAAAGCAGCCTTCAGTTCTTGAACATTCACATGACTTTTGATTACAGACACACATGCTGGATGTACAAAACTAGAGGGAAAAAACGAATTCTGCCGTATGACTCTGGACACACAAAGTTAGTAAAGAGGAGTGTTGCCTCAGGATGCATGTGGCGAGCAATTCAAAAATCGTGTCACCACAAAGTCTCAGAAAGTTTACAGAGGCAGACAAGCAGACTACACGCAAGCGATTATCCTGAACCCATACTGGTAGCTGACGCAGAAAAATGTATTTCCACACTCACAGGAAAGTGCAAAACCAAGGAGAAGATCTTGGACAAAAGACCAATGGTGGTACTGCCATATATACACAATTTTTCACACAGGATAAAAAACATCGCTGCAAGGTACGAAGTCAGAGTGTCACTATCTGCCCCTTTCAGGCTCAAAGGATTATGCAGGAAGGTCAACAATGAAGTGGACGAGACTAACAGCAAGGCACTGTGTCAAGTGAAACACAGGAGCAAATTTGTTGAATGTGTCGAAGGTGTGGTATACAATATACCACTGTCGTGTGGAAGATCCTACGTCGGGCAGACTGGGAGATGCCTTAACGAGAGACTAAGGGAGCACAACCATGCATGCGGACAACTGCAAGCACCTGGCAACCTTGCAGCGCATTGTTCAAAATGCAACTGCAAAGCTCTTCTTGACACTACTTCCATCTTGGCCAGATCAAAGGACAGAACAAAGCGTGAAATAATCGAGGCTTTTCACATGGCCTCGGGTAGACACGGAGCGTGTGTCAGTGAGCCATCACTAGCTTTGCGACAAGAAGAAATATATATACTCAATAAGATACCAAACTTGTCGGAGCAAACATCAGGCCCCAGGTAAACGCTACAAAAACACACCATACAGTTCGTATATCAAAGAGGCAGCTACAGCAAACACCATCAAGTTCAGAAGCCAACAAATTCAAGACATCAACCATTCGTTTTCTTAGCCGCAATTTTGGAAATACGGATCGGGGGAGAAAGAAGAGAAAGAAATTAAACAGTTGTTAGTCTGCGCCAATTCATGCATGTTTTTGTCTGTCCTTCTGCATTAACTTCATTTCTCCAGTTTTTTTCCGCGTAACTACGCAGCGCAGCATACCATCAATACTAAGTAGGGTCGGGCAGTATGCCGCCCCGAATCAGGAACTACAAAAGGCCTAGCTTTATGCAGCTGGGAAGACGAGACGCTACACGCTGGGCATCCCGAACTTAGAATATACGACACCCTTAGAGATAGTAAAATAACACTGCGTTAGGAACAAGTTAACGTATACGTACCTTGGAAAACAAAGCCGTCTACGCACCGCTGAACGCCTCTGACGACGCGATAACGACGTCAAACTCGCCTTCCGAACGGGCAGCAGCACTCCGCAGCTCACGGGCCCACGCCGGCCGGCAGCGGCTTGCGCATGCGCGGGTGAGAGATGTCTTCCTGCGCGCGGCGTAACACGGCTCACGAGCACTGTACTTCCGCGGTCTGATAGAGTTCCATAAAAATTGCTGGATATCCGGCACTTTTGGGCGCGTTCAATTCGCTTATACCAGTTGAACCGACTATAAACTGTAGTCTTGTAAGGCTTTTTTTATTTATACGGATAAGCTCATACTTATTGCCTAAATAGCACATTTCAATGCATATGGTACAATTCCCGTTTTTGAAAGCAAACAGCACATTGTATGCATTTCCAGAAAACGGGACATGTTCTATTCGATTTTTCCACGTAGATTGATGGAATTTTCTAACAGTGTACATTTCGGGTCGATCTTCAGACATTGCAACGTTCAAACAAAGCTAAGAGAATGCGAAAAGTTTATGCTAAAAGCACTCAAAGTTCTATCGATCCTCGAACAGATCCCGAATCAGAGCACCGGTACGGCGATACGGCTGATGCTGTCTCACAGATGTTAATACCCAGATGATCCAGAGCGATCTTGCGCAAAATGAGTATAAAGTCTTATTCCTTCATATTTTCACATTGTACCTGCGTCAGCGAGCACCAACGTTATTAGATTACCTCAGTTACGAAACTGCTCATAGACGCCGCATGCACGAACAGTAACCCCCCTCACGCATCACGACTCGCCCAGCGTCGCTCGACGCGCCGCCAGACGGCTGCTTTGGTAACTGAATCAGGATACGATCGTTTCAACGTTACTAGAAACGTAAAAACCAACAAAAAAAAAAAACTTTTTGTAGTAACTCTTATTGGAGTTTAGTACACAATGGGGGGCGCGTGATGTTTTCTAAAATCTCTTGTTTGCTAGGTTTTGCGGCACAATAATATATTTTTCATACAACCATGCCTCAGCGGTGATTTCAGGTAGCGCGTCCCGACCTAGGCTCATCTTAACTTCGGGGTGAATTCGCGGCGCGTCGGCTGGGGGTGGCATCCCTGTAACCCTTTCCCATGTATCTGTTTCGGCTCCGAAATGGCCGATCGAAGCCATAGTAGATGTTAGGTGCTGTTCCTCGAGTGACCGCTGCAGGGTTAATGGCGGCGATGTGATCGCCATTTGGCGCTTCCGCTGGGCTCTTTGGAACGCATAGTTATGAAACGAAAATATAGACGGCGCTTCGAGCGACGCTTGGCGGATTGAAGTGAGTGAGGGGGGGTACCCCCCTCCGCGGGAGTTCCACAGCTGAGGTAATCTAATAACGTTGGCGAGCACGGAAAAGCCCGAAGTCGTCGGAAAGCCGCTGCACATCACGGCTACCGCGCACCAAACAAACTCGCATCCGCCAGCTCTGGGCGCTGCCATCTTACCTGTGACGTCACGGCTCTTGGGAGGTCACGTGACGAGTAGTCACATTTGCGTAAAACATGGTGGCAACGGGGGGTGCCACTTTCAAACTTCCGGTTTTTCACTTTAAGCCCCTCTACCTCGTTCGGTGGCACAACCAACGTAAGGCGTCGGCATACGACTCGAATCCTTGAAGCCCACCGCGGTGTAATAAGCTATGCTAGCTCAATGAATTCCTTCATTATACAATTATAGTTAAGCATTGTGAGCAGGCTCATCACTAGCGCCGTCTGCTGACGTCTTTTGTGAACAAAGGCAAGCCTGGCCCAACGAGGGGACACTGGACGACGCTCCCGCCAGACCTCGTTGCCGCCATAACCGCCGTATGAGTTCGCCGTCGTTGTTAAACCCCTTTAAGTAACGTTCAACCATGTCTCTGTCATCAGTGCCCTCACAGCATAACAATCAGGCGTCAGATGTCATCCGTTCACATGCATGAGTGACGTCATTGTGGTTACCTATTGTGACGTCTTTGTAGAACCGAATGGGAAGGTCCCTAGGAAAGTGAAATGATTGTTTTTTCGCTAGTAGATTAACGCCGGCGATAAACCAATGAACATGGATTATGTAGGGAAATGGTTCCAAATAGATATAAAACTCAGCATTTCAGGAAGAACTTTCACGACCCCTTTGAACTCGCTCGATCTAGTGCCTTTAGTAACAATGGCTCTAGTTCACTGTAAGGCGAGACAAAGCGTAGGTTGTTTGGCGTGCACGTAACATGCGTTCGGGAATGCACGAATCACTGAAACATCTTGTAGGCTGGCAAATTTGACCTTCTATACGCAATTTTTTTCTTCTATTTTCAGCTTGCTGGAACTTCGACGAGTGCCGCGTTACGGAAACTGCTACTGCTTGGGCTGCAACAGCAGTCGTTTCAGATGGCAGGCAATGAAAATATCAGATCCTGAGCAAGGTGAGGTAATATTCCATGTTCGTGTGCATTCGACAAATATTAGTGATCTTAAGTGGTCAGCCGGACTGTTCGGGACTCGGTAGACAAGAGGTGGGATAAAAAGAACAGCGTCCCAGCTGAAACCGGGTCAAAGAAAATTCCGAAGACACCTAAGCACATCTTATGTGTTGTCAATGCGAAATCAGTACCGGCGTGCGGTCGTGTATCACTACTGCGTGGTGCACGTTAAAGACTCCAGGCTAGCGGCTCTACCGCACTGGCTAAATTTCTCATCTACAGCTGGGAGACTCGTCGCCCCTGTGAGGTAGACCAAGTTCTAGGCTGTATAAACACACACACAACCCAATTTTTAATCCGAAATCATGAATATCGTTCTTGCGCTCCCTTAGCTCGTCTGCGGTCCACTGGCGTGAACGACCACGTTTCCCTACTGCCGATGTTGCGGCCTTCGACTATATACAGGGTGCGGCCGTAAAAACTTTCACATTTGGCACGCCTAGCCAAAATCGAATTTCAAATGTATATACCTGCAATTGGGCACACGGCCGCCGTTTATTCTAAAGATTTTTGAATATTTTTTTCAGACGTCAGCTCGGGAGTAGCGAATTATTAGGAAGATAACAAAAATGGCAGACGTGCATTTTCTATGGCCTATACCCGCTCGTTCGCCGTCTGCAATCTGGTTCGCGACGCCGCTCCCAGGTGGCGCATTGAACACAAAAACGCGGACGTGTTTCCTGGTTCTCCTACTTCTCTCGACTGAGTTGCGGTGAGCGGACGTGTTTCCTGGTTCTCCTCGAGCATCCGAAGCTAAGTGCCAGTTTTTCTTCTTTTCTCTCTCTTTTTTTGAGAGTTGATTGGAAATGACTATGCGGTAGCAGTATTAGGTTTGAACAGCAGCAGTTAACGTTAGTTTCGCAAAGTAGGCTCTGTTTGAATTTTTGGCGGGAAGGGACGGTTTGTTCCCGGTCTAAACATGGGTCTAGATTTGGGTCGGCATGACAAGGGTGGGGACGAGTTGGTGCAGTGCGAGGGGTGTGGGAGGTGGTGTTACCTGGAGGAGACGGGTTTCGGGAGCCTGGAGGTGGCGGCGGAGGTGAGTTTCGAGTGTCGGCTTTGTGTGAAGCTTCAGCAGGTAACTGGGGAATGGGAGGGTAGAGTTCGGGAGATTAAGGCCCAGCTTAAGGCAGAAGGAGAGAAGCGGGTGGGTCTCGAGGCCCAGGTAGAGGAGCTGACTAGGCAGCTTAATCATGAGAGGGAGCAGCGGGTCGGCCTCGAGAAGCAGGCGGAAGAGCTGGGGGAAGTATGGAAGGCGGGTTTAGAGGAGCGTAAGAGGGAGTGTGACAGTAGGGTAGAGCGCCTGGAAGGGGTAATTCGAGCGAGTGAGAGTAGCGAGGGAAGAAAGGAGGTAGTGTCAGTCCTAGCGGGACGAGCCACCAGTCTGCAGGCTGGGGTCCCTGGTGGTCGGGAGTCCGGCCTGTTGGCAGGCGGGCTCGACGACGCTGGAGAGCTGATTGAACCTCAGCTCAATGGCGCCTTCGAGCAGCAGGCGTCGGGCAGTCAGGTGACAGGAGATAAGTCGCAGGACAAAGGCGCGCAGGCACCAGGGGGTTCTAGGGTACTGGTAGTGGGGAGCTCTAACGTAGCACGGGTTAGGAGGGGTGTACATAACAGGGTGAAGGGAGACCAGAGGGTAACCGTAGAGGTCCAGCCAGGGAAGTGTATGGTGGATGCTATGACCGCAGCACGTGAGGGGGTGTGGGATAACCGGGAGGGAAGGAACCTAGTAATAGTTCATGCGGGGCTTAATGATGTGCTGAAGGGTAGGAGCCAGAACCTCGGAAAGCAGCTAAACGTGGGAATACGTAAGCTGAGGGACGTGTCTGAGAATGTGCATGTGGTTGTGTGCACCATTCCAGAAGTTCGGGGGCAGTCCGGGTTAACGGAGAGGAGGGTTGTCGAAGCCAACGGAGTAATTAAGGGTATGAGTCGACAGCTTCGGTACGACGTAATGGAAGTAAACAGAGAAGTGTACGAGGCTGGCTCCCGCCCTTTTGCAGATGGCATTCACTACAGTGAGGCCACGGGATACAGGGTGGGGGATAGAATGGGCCGCACGGTGACTGCTTTTTTGGGGGGACCGAGGGCCCTGGGGGCACTGAAGTAACTGAAAACCCAACAAAGTCAGGAGAGGCACCCAGGGTTAAAAAGAGGAGAAAACGTAAGAACAGGTATAAAAAAACAGCACAATCAGACATTGGATATATTAACATGCAGGGTGGTAGAAATAGGTTAAAATGGGAAGAGGTAGAGGAGCAACTAAGAAAGGAGGATTTAATGGTGTATGGGTTTGTGGAAACACATCTCAGAGACATGGAGCAGCCACCTTGCAACCCTGACTATGTGTGGGAAGAATGCAACAGAATGGAGGGAACGAGGAAGGGAGGTGGAATTGGAGCATTTATTAAGAAGAATATGAACTTTCAAAGGTTCAGAAAGGAGTGCGCCGAACACTTGTGGCTGAAAGGAAAAGTCGCTGGGGAATCAACAGTCCTTGGAGTGGTTTACTTATGGACAGGGACAGGTGCTAAAGAGGAAAACAGAAAAATGATTGATTGCATATCAAGAGACATTAGTGAACTAGGGGAAGGCTCCGAAATAATTATTATGGGAGACATGAATGCCCATATTGAGGGTCTGGATGGGTATACGGACTCAACTGGAAGCATATTACTAGAACTGGTGGAAAAGCATGATTTAGTTTTATGTAATACCAGTCAGAAGTGTGACGGGCACATAACTTGGGAAACTGGCAATCTACATTCAACTATAGATTACGTACTCATGTCACACAAAATATATGGTAAGTTACAAGTAATGAAAATAGATGAAGAAGGTTCCAAAAGTCTTGGTAGTGATCACAAACGTATTAAGCTGAATTTTGCCAGAGAAGTAAATGCTGAAACTAGACAACATAATTCAAAGCAAACTTTCTGCAGCGACAAAGAGTTGGAAATAGTTGTTGAAAGAATTGAGGCAGCAGTTTCAGGGCAACGGCATACAGATTGGACCTATGAGAGCCTAACTAGGCTTTTTGCTCTAGAACTAGACAAAGTTAAGAGTAAACGAAAGGGGAAGCAAGGACATAGACCAAAAAGTTGGTGGGACAAAGAAGTGAAGCAAGCGATACAGAAACGTCAGGAAGCCTCTAGAGAACACAAGTATTCCAAGCGTAGTGGGGAGTCCGAAACGGAAGTAAAAAGAAAATGGGACAATTTTATAACATGTCGCCGAGAGGCATCCAGTTTGATCAATGCGAAAATTCAGAAAAAGGGTGAGGAATGGATGAGTAATGTAAGTAAGAAAGATAGAAACGCTGCCAAGAAGTTTTGGGAGCACTTGAACTCACTCGGTGAAACGACGCAAGCTAGACAGAGGTTCATACTCTCGCATCAGGGAGATCAATTAGAGGGAGATGATGCGATACAATATATAGGAGCAGTGATGGAGGAGAAATTTCGGGAACGGGTACATGTGGAAGATAGGAGAACCGAAGGAAGTAGCAGTCCAGTTTGTGACATCGCGGATTTTAGACAAAGAGAATGGGAAAAGGCGGAACGAAGAGTCCCTAGTGGCACGTCGACAGGCACAGATGGTATCCCTATTAAGCTGGTGAAGAATTTGGGTCCTAAATCTAAGGCAAAACTAAGGGAGGTAGTGAGTACCATGATAACAAAAGGAAATATTCCAGATGAATGGAGGCTTAGTAGGATGAGTATGATATATAAGGGAAAGGGAGATAAGTCTGATATTAGGAATTATCGTCCTATAACCGTGACACCGGTTATTTACAGGTTGGTAATGCAGATTATAAAGAACAGACTGGAGGAATGGGTAGATTGCGAGGGCATACTGGGCGAGTTACAGAACGGGTTTCGAAAACAAAGAAGGTTGGAGGACAACTTATTTTCTCTAACACAGTGTATAGAAATAGCGCAAAAAGAAAACAGACAGCTCTGGCTGGCATTTCTGGATATCAAGGGTGCCTATGACAATGTGAACCAAAGAAACCTGTGGGACATAATGGAGAACTTAAACCTAGATGAAGGACTAACAGCACTATTAAGGAACATTTACAAAGATAACAAGGTGATTATAACATGGGAAGGAAAGGCGACAGGGAAAATAGAGATAAGACGAGGCCTTAGGCAGGGGTGCCCGTTATCGCCTTTGCTGTTTATGTTGTATCTGAGAGGATTGGAGGATAGACTAGAGAAGAGTGGGCTTGGGTTCAACCTTTCTTACAGTAAGCTAGGCCAAAAAATTCAGCAATCCTTACCGGGATTGATGTATGCGGATGATATTGTACTAATGGCTAACAACAGGACAGAGTTGCAGGAATTAATGAGCATCTGTGGTAGGGAAGGAGAGGAGTTAGGTTTAGAATTCAGTAGCGAAAAATCGGCAGTCATGATTTTTAACGAGGATGAAGTTGAGAGGCTGAAGATACAGAATATTACAGTTGAGAGAGCTAGTAAATACAAGTATCTAGGAGTATGGATATGTGATGGTGCAGAATATCTCAGAGATCATGAAAAGTATATAATAGGTAAGGGCAACAGAAATGCAGCTGTAATGAAAAATAGAGCACTTTGGAATTACAACAGGTATGAGGTGGTGAGAGAGATTTGGAAAGGGGTCATGGTGCCTGGCTTGACTTTTGGAAACGCAGTGCTATGCATGAAATCCGAAGTGCGTGCGAAACTAGAAATAAAACAGCGCGGAGTAGGTAGACTGGCTTTGGGGGCACATTGCAAAACGCCAAACCAGGGAGTACAAGGAGACATGGGATGGGCATCATTTGAGAGCAGGGAAGCGGTGAGCAAGGTAGAATTTGAGGATAGGTTGAGGCTAATGGACGGGGAGCAATGGGCACGAAAGGTTTTCAGCTATTTATACATGAGGAGTGTAGACACCAAGTGGAGACAGCGCACTAGGAA